TAAGGAAGGCGGCTACAGCTGGGATATAGAGTGAATAAACTGTAATAAATAAAAAAATAAATTAAATTAAAAAAAGAGAGAGAGAGAAGATACCACCACCACTGAGGTGAAATCTGGGCAGTGTTTCCTCAAAGTCAGCACATGTAAGCTATGTTCAAAGTTACCCAAAGTTGTGCTGTGTACTGGTAGCCAAACTTGGTCATGTGTAAGAGCCCCCTCAGTGGTACTGCTTTGAAGGCCCAGATTGAAGGGGCCGTGTAGAGGAGTTGAGGCTTATGAAGAGAGTCCAGGAGAGGCTGTTGGTGAAAGTGCACCCAGCTGCAGCAGGAGACCCCAGCACTTTGTAGATGGCGGTGGTATGGTGACCTCCAAGAACAGCATCAGTGGAATGGAGCTGGTAGAGGGCAAGCTGTGTGCCCTTTGGAGGGGCCCTGAAGGCTGAGAGCGAACTCCAGACACTGGACATGGAGTGATTTACACTGTTAGACTTTAGTTTTGCTGTGATCTGACTGTAACACTGCCCCAGTTCTTCTCTCTTGAAAAGAGAAAGTATTTAACTTTTTTTTTCCAGTCTTGTTTTTCTTTTTTTTTTTCCTTTGTACAATTTTTTCCAGGTTCCTGCTATTTTTATTATTATTTTTTTAATTTTTCTCAACCATATTTGTAGCAGGTTTACTTGTAATAGCCAGAACCTGGAAACAATCCAAATGCCCATCAATAGAGGAATGGATGCAGAAATTGTGGTATTTTTACACAATAGAATACTACTCAGTAATTAAAAACAAGGAAATCATGAAATTTGCAGGCAAATGGTGGGATCTAGAGAAGATCATTCTGAGTGACGTACCCCAGAAGGAGAAAGACAAACATGGTATATACTCACTTATATATACCTATAAGATATGATAAACATACTAAAATCTGTACACCTAAAAAAGATAAATAAGAAAGAGGACCGGGGGTAAGATAATCAATCCTCACTTGGAAAGACAAATGGGATGGACATTGGATGTAGGAGAAAACAAGTAACAAGACAGGAGCCTACCACAGAGGGCCTCTGAAAGACTCTACCTAGCAGTGTAACAAAGCAGATACTGAGACTCATAATCAAACCTTCGGCAGAATGCAGGGAATCATATGAAAGAAGAGGGAGTTAGATGTGGAAAGGATGGGAGCTCCACAAGGACCAAATATATCTGGGTACAGGGGTCTTTTGTGAGACTGTTTCTTCAACCAAGGACCATGTATGGATATAATCTAGAACCTCTGCTCGGATGTAGCCCATGGTAGCTCAGTATCCAAGTGGGTACCCTAGTAAGAGGAACAGGGACTATTTCCGACATGAACTCAATGGCAGGCACTTTGACCTCTCCCTCCCCTCCGAGGAGGGAGGAGCAGCCCTGCTAGACCACAGAGGAGGACTTTGCAGCCAATCTTGAAGATATCTGATAAACCAGGGTCAGATGAAAGGGGAGGAGGTCCTCCCAATCAGTGGACTTGGAAAGGGGCAGGGAGGAGGTAAGGGAGGGAGGGTGGG